AAATATAAAGGGTTAAATATTTATTAGACGAGGGTTAACCGAGATTTATGGGCGGACCTCGGCGGCTCTATGCCAAACCGGGCGACGCTTATACTCCACGAAATGAGGGAAAAGAAGTGTATAGGGGGTTGCTACCTGGGCAAATCGCTGAGGGGTGGAAGTAAAATTGTCGGGGTGGCCAATGTCGATTTCGAGGAGGCGGCACTTTGCAAATATCGCTAAATTCTCGGGATTGTTGGAGCACCATGATTGCTATGACGAGACGATTCATTTTTCATTTCTTTAATTAGCGAATCCCTTAAATACTAAGTTGATAAATTTCTGACGTCTGAATTCAGTAAAATTCACATCAATATATTCGCCTTTCCATTTATCATTTTATACAGACACATGAAGACATTGGAGACATTGAAGAAAGTTATCCAATCAGTGAATTGTAAATGAAGAAATTTTTTTCACACGAGTGAATATCAGATGTCAAAAATTTCTCACGTCAGGAAGGAAGCCAATCATAATTTGAATAAAAAAAAAGTCATTAACTCAACAATGCTAACATTTATTCATAATGAAAATACGTTGATTGAGACAATAGTTCAAACAGTATCATTATCGGTAATATATTATCACTATAATGCTAGTCGTATACAATGTGCGGAGTGAGTTTATTTTCCATGTTTCCTCTCATAATTTGTTGTCATCCAAGTATCTTATTCAACTAAATAAGTTTACTGCCAAGTATATAACACCCATACATTTACAGTTCTCATCTGAAAAGATGAGTCTTCATATACACGTCTTCATTCATTATATATCAATCAACTTAACTCTCTTTCTCCTTCTCTATAATCTCTCAACTCGCGAATCCTGATAATTCACGATGTTCAACTCAAATTGAAATGTTTCTCGCCTTCCTATTACAAACGTTAACAAATTACAATGAGAAACAATACGAAACAAAATTGAAAAAAAAAAACGTAACTAGACGACATTCAACAAATGCTTATGCCCGAGAATTATTTGGGCGAGGTTTGAGTGAGGTTAATCCAAATGAAATAAAAAAAAAAAAATCTCTTAATTTTAGTTGTGAGCATTGAAAAAGTCTCTGTTAATATTTATATAATATATATATATATATATATTACAAGACAAAAAAATTCATATCACGGTAAGTCGGTTCCGTTGAACTGTCGATACACATTTTAGTCAATTTATGGTAATGATTATTTATGTTATTCATAAATGCATGGCTGAATATAATTATATCGACAGTGAGTGGGCGATTAGTGACACGACAATGCAACGGATAACGAAAACACTTGTATTTTTTTTCATTTTATTATTGTTTTAATGCCTAACTATTCGCGCGTGTATACGACTATTCTTTTTCGTCCTTAATTCTTAATTCCTCGCTCTTGATTTCCGACATATATCTTCATATTTTAATTAATTAAGTACACAGTCTTGGCGAACACGCCCACTGCAACCTATGGCACTAAGTATTCACGTTTTGCTGTCGCCGTGGGTTTTTCATTTTTTATTATTATTTTTTTTTTCATTTGTCATCTTCACTTGATGCGGTGTAACTGCTGCGTTCACAGCGATAAATTTCTCCAGGAAATAAAACAAAATTGTAGTTTCTAAATTTTTTTTTTAATGTAAATCTGCAAATTATACAAAATGAAATGAATGTATTTTCATCATGAAAAAAAAATGTTTATCAACAACAAGGTCTCCCGTTCCAAAACTTCTGAATATGTAATAATGAAATCCCTTTTTATCAATTATTTCTCAAGATGGCGAAGAAATCGTGCAATTTTCGATTTATAAATTCAATACTCCGATTCCTTGAGAAATACCGGAGGGAAAAACACTTATATACTCAGAGTTTGAAAACTTAAATTCCCTTGACTCTTAAATGGAATGATGAAATAATTTGGAAAATGATTTAAAATATAATTTTGATGACGAAAATGATGTATTCAGTCGAATTACAGCAGTTCACTTTTCAACGCCAGTTTCAAAGATTCTTCCTCAGATGTCTTCCGTCCATTCAGCTCTCCAAATTTCAAATCAACGAAAATTCTAAACCCAAACTCCTAAAAAACAAAACAAAACCGAGATAAATGATCTCGGCCCTAGGTTCGGCACTCGTAACTAGGGTTCTAGCCAGCAGGTGCTGAAATCCATCGTAACCAAAACACCGGTACTTGAACCCAAGCATCGACTCATAGAACTTTATTGAGAATATTAGATACCAATCCGATTGAGGAATGATCACGTCCAAATGATCACGAGTAAATCCTCAACCGAATGATGCATGCTGCTCCTGATGCCTTACCCGAATGTCCTGCACCCATCATCATAATCCCCAAATCATTCATATAAATATCGACAACATGCGGTAATAGATAAACCAAAACATGTCCACCAAGAAAATTTCTAATTCACTGATGTATGAAAAAAAAAAGATTTTAAAAAATGCAAATCTTTCACGTATCACCGGGAATTTACAACCGGACAGTATTCACTCCCGCGCGTATACCGAATGCATCTCCACATTTTGTATATTTGTACGTGCAATGTGGGGCTCGGTTGCGCGTTCAAAAAAACTTGGCCATAGAAAAAAAAAATAGATTTATAACGACACAGTTATTCACTTTAGGGTGCAGGACGCATATTCATGTGATATATTTTATTAAAAAAAAATGGCATTCCCCATTCACCATGGGCGAGGCACCAGACATATGCAGCATCACATTTGATAAATAATTCTCACTATTTATCCTCAAAATTGTTATTTATTATTTGAAATTCTACAAGTCAAGTAGATAGGGTCAAGTACGGGAATTAAGGGGGGGTGGACCTCGCGCGCCCTGCCGGCCAGGACTTGTACCTCACACAACTCCCTAGTTACGAGTACCGAGACCTAGTTCATGTAAACAACAAGCGCATTTTTTTTGTCTTTCCATAGCTTCTCATCCGAAGAGATCGCCTAGATTAATATGTCGACCCGATCGCGCACTTTCGATCGTCATCGCCTATTACTCGTCAATAAGATTTCATACGGTATAAAATATATTTACAAAAGAATCATAGCCAAACAGCTGAGAGTACACATTTCGTTCAAATTATGACTTTCCTTCCTTTCATTTTGATTAGTCTCAATGTTTATAGTTTTCACTGTTTATTCGCACTCACACACAGACTCATACTCTCTCAAATTCGCACCCTCACAACGCACTACGAATGGTAACACTAATCCTCGATAATTTAAAAACTATTCGACTTTTATCTCAGTAAAATTCCTTCGCTCATATCAATTTATTTATACTTCTTACTCAATAGTCTTCATTATACGCTTCTATTTCATGAATCTCTTTTAAAAATAGACACATATGTATTCTTTTACACGATCTTAACAACTATTACGTATATTTTCTGCATCACGATTCAGATGAATAAAATGAAATCGCCGATGTCATCGTGCTATTTTCAAATAATCTTGCCCCGATGGCAATCGAGCGATAAATCAGGGTCCAATACCGGAACTCTGGGCCCCTGATAATGAACCTTTTTACGTATACTGTGTCTATGTCACGAAGACAGGCAGATAATGCCCCCAATTACACTCTCAACTTTGAAAATTTCATCGAAATAAAAGATAAAATCGTCTCGCCGCTATTTTAAATTCAAATACTAAATTCGAGTCTAATTAACTCCCACGAATAATCAACAATCCTGCGAATCTAGTCATCACTTGAATAATTCAGAAACTCTATAAGTCAATATCGAATAAATTTTCATAAATCAATGTAAATATGATACCTTTAGATAAAGTGATTAGAATAATCCAAGAATTATCTAGTCGCTGGATCGTCGATCAAACAATCAAGTGCTCCCCCTAGAAAATTACTCCTCCCCTAACCTCATCCCAGCCTTCTGAATAATCTAAAATATGAAAAATTACAACCGATGACCCCCGCCCGAACGCCTCAACAGGACCCTCAAGGCCCGCGCACGACATCGAACCGCCCCAGTTCTACCGAATAACCAATTGACTTTGAAAAATTTTTTTTTTATTCCAAAAAGATATTAAGAGAAATGAAAAGATAATATGATGGAAGCAGGTGATGTGTCGTCTACAACAAAGGACAGATGCAAATAGCAGTGTCTCCAGAAGAATATGAATAATTTAATGAAGAACGTTTTTCAATAATTTGGCGGGAAAAACTACAAGTGCAAATCAACTCCTATCTTCGAGTTATTTCATCTCTCAAAGGGAAAATGTTGAAGAATCCTCAAGAAAGGTTGAAATAGCCTCAACTGGGGTTGATTTATTCTCCTCGTTGTTTGCGTATTGAGAAGATAATACAAAATGATAATGCACGAGACAGAGACAGGCAGAGTATACAAAGGAGGTTATGTAATTTGGATAACGTTTTGGATGGGTTGGAGGATTCTAAAGGACAGAAGCACATGTTGATGTTGAGTATCTCGAAATAACGACTCTAGAAGATATACAAATGTACAAAAGAAAAATAAAAAATAAAATTGAAAAAAAAAATTTGATAGAAGAAGAAGAAAAACCCGCATAATGAATTGAAATAATGATAAATCCAATAAATTGAACTAGATATGGAAATAATGTACAATTACGAGCACGGATAAACAGCTGAACTGATGCTGTGATAGGCGGCGAGGGCGGCGTGCGCGTGCGCGTGCGCAGGGGGCGCGGAGGCGGCGTGCGGCGATGTAGCCATTGCGGTGGCTGCCGCGGCTGCCATCATCATCTGTTGGTGCGTACGCTTTAGGGAGTTGGGAGTTGTGGCGGCGCTACTTGGGGTAGTGTTCGACTGCGGCGGGTGATTTTGGCTTTGGTTTTGGTTGTTCAGTTGCAGGGGGGTGGTACTGCCGATTGCATGGTGGTGGTGATTGTGATGGTGGTGGGGGGTTAACGCGTCGTGCGGATAGTAAGACGTTGACGATGGTGAGGTACTCACGACGTCCGGTGTACTCGCTCCATCTGTATGACTCGTACTGTCAGCTGTACTACGTGGTCCGCCATCGAGTCCATTGCCAAGATCTGGCGGTTTTGTGCTGTCACGATCGTCGATAACAAGGTCTATTGGCATTTTTCCCTTTAGGCAGCTGATGTACCGGTGGCAGAAGTTGTCGCACAATTCGTGAACCTGAAAACCAATTTATCTCATTTAGTGGAAATTCAAATGTCAATACAGCAACCGTAGTAGCTTATGATACGGGTATAAATTTTTGGTAGAGCGCAGGAGTTGTATCGAATTATCATTGTCATTGGTCATCAGGTTTGAGGGATAATGATGGGAGAGAGTGGCTTGCACTGGTTGAAACATCTGGATGACATTCTAATGTATCGGAGGACATCGAACAAGAGCCCGTGGAGTTTTCATCAGACAGGAGAATGGAGGCTTGAAGCCAGTGTCCGCAGCCGGCCAGAATGTTATGTATGCAAATGAACCATGACAAGCCTATAGTATAACCCATCTTCCTCATCTCTCTTACAGAACCCGCCCTTTCTCCCCACTCTTTGTCTTTTCTCAACCAGCGGCATTCGCCTTAGAAAAGTAAATCTATTATATAAGCAAAAAAATATTGGATGAAAAAATCGTTATCTTGTTATATGTAAATCGTTCTTGGTTCGAGAGACTACTTAGGATTATGATGCCGCTTTTGCAGCCTTGCATCTTCAATCTAGCATGATAGAATCCATTGCATCGTAACATACCATCCCTAGTGGAGGTTAGAAAGATCGCATTACCATAGGCCTCCTTATTAAACAAGTATTTATATGTAATAATCGGCCATTTTGCCCAGAAGGTGAAATAAAACGACTAATGGCAGTGAAACGTGTTTTGCTTCTTGTAGTCTTAGAACAATGCACGCGTTTATCATGAATTATAGCCAGACCGATGGAGTACCCCTTTTATTTATCGCCGAGTTCAACTTGACGATTCTCGTGATAGATGTCCATTGAAATTTAACGTTGTTCAAAAGACACTGGATTTCAAGTCTTAAATTATATCTTGGTGTCTCTTGATCTTTCTCATTCTCTCGACAATGCCTATACAGATGACTATAGGAATTGAAGCGGTAGGAGAGGAGGGACCGAAGGACATCGGCTATAATGCCAGACTGGTTAGAATTTGATCCACCGGGAGTCGAGTCCAACCGGCTGACAATGCTCAAGAAAAAAAAATAAGAAAAATAAGAGAGGACTGATCATCGATAGAAAGCAGACAACCACTCGTATCCATTCGGCTGTCTTCGGTGTTCTCTTAACTTGGATCATCCTAAACAACCTGTATGGTATGGATATCTTTACCATCTAACTTTAACCAAGACGCTAAAGGTTGTAACGTAATGCTCCGACATTATGATCTTGCCCTTGCGACACATGATCCTGTGAGTTATCCTTTGAACCGAATGAGAATAGTGAAACAGCGACTCCTGAATGATGCCAAGGACTTCTGACGACAGTCACACGATATTACAGCTTGAGTTTTGCATAAATTGAATAAGCTCGTTGTTTTTCATATTGCGTAAGGATAAAAGCATTAGGATATGAAGTGGATGATTAACCAGTGTGAATTAATTAAGATGAGTAACTCGATATACCCACGAGGATCGCTGTAATATCAAGTGTTCTGGAGTTGAAAACAATGCTGCAAGTTATTAGAAATGAGAAATGGCCAGATCAATCCGGCAATGAAGTTGAATTTATTTTTCCAACACTAGCATTCCAAAACCAGTTTTCCCTGTGTTCCCTTCGGTGTCGACTCTTTTCCCTTCAGACATTCCAGGAACATCGGCCCCTTTATTCAGGCCATGTCAAAATATTTTCCACGTCAATGAACAAGTATAAAAGATTCGTTTCAACAAATGAATGTAGAAAAAATACCTCGTGGAGGGGCTCTTTTCACTCGAATGCTGTCAAGAATCTATTGGCTGTTCTCCATGTTTCGTTGGGATGTTACCGAGTACATAACGCGCCATACATTTGAACTGTTAACCGCAAAAATTGCGATGGAAGACGCAGAACGAAGAACCGGTTTCCATCACGGAACTCCACCAAGGAGGAAGTAAAGTCAAGTCAATAGCTCCGGCTATTTCTTTATTTCACGTTTTCTGTCCTTCACCATGAGCATTCAACAACTCAGCGGTTGCAACGATCGTGAAAACAACTAGAGTGGCATTTTTACCATAACTCGGAGTAGAATGTAAAATACTATGCGCTGGAGAGGTGGTGACTAGGCGTTGGGAATGTCTCGGTAATCTGGAGTCACTGGCCACTGGGTGGGTTTGCAAAATAACCCAACCGGCCATCCAGGAACGTCGCTGGTGCGCATCGACAACCCAGCCGGCTCCCCCCATCGCTTGGTAAAACGTAATTATGCTAATATCCGATTGGCTTGAAAGAAAAAAGATAAAAGAGGATGGTGAAACATCGTGGGGCTATGGTGCAGCCGGATTGGTGAGGAAGAGTGGTATTTATGGAATCCCCCCTTTCCTCTACACCATCTTTTTGATCGCCACGCTGCTGCATTCCTCGAGGCCAACACTATTTTGGATTTCTTTGGGATCAAGGCACCACACTTTAGGAGACATGAAGGCTTCCATGCCATTGTGGAGATTTGCAGAAAGTTTTACCTTTGGAAATGAAAATGAAAACCGTGGAAAAATCAACCAGAGACATTTTCCAATATTGATATCTGCACTCTTGGATCAGAGATTTAAGAAACAATGCATAATACAAGTGCAACGTGCACCTCTTTAAGAAATTTAGTGAACAATTGCCTGTAAATTGGATTTAGATACAACAACAGTGCACAGTAGTATAATTAAGATCGTGTCGCGTTTCTCATTTAGTACGTGTAGAAATGTTAATATTCAATTTTCCAAAACAATAATTCTGGAAAAAGGGGAAAGTTCTAGCTAACCAAGGAAAAAAGAACGGACAACGTGGGAAAGTCTACAAAAGCTAAATGCATACATAAAACTTTGATCACCATTCCAATGTTTTATCCTGTTTTCTGGTTTTGCGAAATCACAAGATCATGAATTTTCAGAAGTGAATGTTTACCCTGAGATACGATGGGCGATGGTTTAGAAGCTGAATACTAGTGAAGGTGGAGATTTAGCCCCGGGTATCAGTTTATAAGATAATCACCATAAATGAGGAAAATTGGTATGAAATTGGCTTCGATAAACTGGGCTGGACTGGGTAGGTCGCTATCCTATTGGTGTAACAGCTATCCCTCCACCATTTTAGAAGTATTCGGACCATGAACAATTTCGATGGAAATGCGATGGATGTCCGATATTTTGTATGATAAAATATTGGGCTGGTGGATGAGGCTGAATAATATTATCCGATTGGTGCTCGGAGCGACAAGAAAATCTGAGAAAATCAATGATTTGACGGTATATTTTATCAATCTCATCGCGGATCCCACATCCGTTTGCAATGATTTCTAAAGATATAGCCGAAGAGTTAGAAAAACTAATAATAATTTCAAAGAAAGGCCCACCATTTTGAAGTTGTCTCTTTAAAATTCAAAGTTTTGTCAACACTTTTGTCGATCCATTTCACAATATTCCAACCTTTTTTCCCAAATGATCTATGAAATTCCGTTAATGTCTTCAGCCATTTGTCCAAAAAGAGTCGAATGACTCCATTTATACCAAGCACTTGGAAAAATCACAAGAAACTTTCACGATCGCTGACCATTGCATTTCTATACAAGAATAACCCAAAGGACATCATATGGACAGGTGTTGATAGCTCTCGATGATATCAACTAACCCCGAGGGTGATCAAATGAAATCAAATGCAGTCATGCACATCAAATGAGTAACAGCCTCTGCAAACGAAGATATTTATTTTCTTGGTTGAGGTCAGAGTGTACCGGGAAGAACCCCCGGGTGATTTATGATCGGACGAAAATTAACGAGCCACTTGAATTCTCTGAATGACCTTATCAAAATGACATTGTATCAATCTCGCCGATGTGATTGATTATGTAATATCAGTGGAGAATGAGATAATGAGAGAGATATTTACCTTTTCAAGCTCGAGGAGGTGAAACCGGAGGACCTGAATCGCTTGTACCATCTGTAACAAAGAATAAGCAATCATTCAATTAATGACTATATTAATATCAAGTTAATTAATATATGGCTGTGTTTATTGTTTTTAGCCATCATTTTATGGTAAGATTGGCTTTTTATCTTGAGAATATGACACTACAACTCCGATTTATTTCCTTTTTTCTTAGCGACGTTAATTGACTTCGCATCCGCGCCGGAAAGAACGAACGGAATGCCCCGATACGGTTCCTTGACTCCGGGCTACGTTCTCCGTCAAACCCAACGAACAGAAATGAGAACAAGAACAAAGACACCGGCCTTTTGAGAATACCCCAGTGTGTTATGTGGTTCGCCTATCGTTTCGCTGTGGAATTGTTGGAATAATTTTTACGATGTACCATGGGAATTCCGATATGAAAAATCAGAATAGAGAGAAAGAGAAAAAAATAGAGGATGTGCCCGCATGGAAAACGGTATATTCCCGCCAAAAATGCAATATATCAGATATACGCGGAATATATGTGAGTACATATATATATATATTGTCCACATATATTCGACGTATATCTTACATACACATGAAATATATTTGGGGCCAAAAATGTAATACGTCACATATACTCTACTTGAGGCCTGATTACTAATTAAGAATCCAAACAATTTGTTTTTTGGTTTTTGTGTCCGATGTGGAAATAGTGACACATTCCAGCGCATCTGAAAGTATGATAATATCCCCTGACGTTTAGCTTTCATGCTTATAAATAACACCATCTCCTTGTTCCAACTTGAAGTAGTTTTTTTTTTGTTTTTCAAGCCCTTAGTCCTCGCTTAATTAATATCACGTGATGAGCGATCGCGGCAAAACCTCGAGGCCGCATCACGCCCCGAGTTGTACATATACATTGAGTACATAAACACGTGAGAATGTGTGGAGGCGTTGGAGTTTGTTCCTCTCTTCACTTCCCCTTCACTAGGGTTTTGAGGCACAGAGGAGACATTGTATAGGAACTCGAAGATTCTCGCGGTTTGTAATGGCAGTGAAGAGGGGCCAACACGATCGTCTCGAGCGTCCGATTCACGCCTCAATGTGATGCCTCGATTCCCTCAGACTCATAACGAAATTCACTGTTCATTTGTATCGCTGGGGTTTATTAAAAAAGTCGAGGTCCCGATAAAAACGAGTCATTTGAGATGAGGTTTTGAGACTTCGCGGGTGGTAACGTGAAAATAAATCGACATTCTAACCTCACCTCAACGTTATGTTTTCACCTTTATCCTCGGAAAAATATATATAATAATTTCTGGTGACGCAATGAATTCTTCGTTATTAATTACTTCTGTTAAACTACTTTATGCCTGCCAAGTTAATTCACTCTGCAAAGTAATTTTTTTTTTCGCTATGTATGTGATATATTGCATTTCTATGAGAGTACATGTGAGGATAATTGCTATATATTTTTATATACATACATGTTGAATGTAATGTAATGCACACGCGTACACATATATCTGGCATGTGCATGAAATATATTTGCAGCCAAAAATGGAATATGTAATCAGCATATATACTTTTTTCGTGAAGGAGGTAACTATTTTACTAGGAAATTCTGGAAGGCGGGAAGAATATATTCAACTTCTCTGATTGGTTATTCTCACTACCACTGCACACTGAATTTTTTATTTTCCTGCAGGATAAAATTAACATTTCGCTATGGGAAAAGGAAGATTTTTGAGAGGAGATGCACGAAAATGATATGTAATATCACAAATTCAGTAAAAGCATTTGCAATGAATGCATACAAATAACAAATTGGTTCTGGTTTCATCAGTAAATTCACTTTTCACACTCACGAGTGTAAATATAATTGATAACAAATTATACGTTTGACATCATTCTATGACATATTGACAATCTAAACATTAATTATCGAGTAAATCTTGAGTCACAATCAATGCACCTCTCAACACCGTTTTTGCCGCATTTTTTTTTTACACTGTCCCCTCTCTGGAATGTTTCAAAAGCTGTAATGCAGACGTTTGTCGTATTGCGGCAAAATACGTCTACGTTCCAACAACAAACTGAACGTGTGTCAAGCCTGTAAATGTGGAATAGATACAAGGTAGACGTTTTGTATGAAAACCGTCAGTTGGTGATTTCCGAGAGACTTGAGAATCTACGACGTCGTAAATCTCACTGGTAGATGGATCGCACTGGTAGATCGATAGGAACGTCCGCCACTGATAGACGATAAATACATTGAGCACTTTGATCAAATAAAAAAAAGTAATTAAAAAACAGTAATTACAGGAATAATTCATCGGAATTTCTTGAGACGAGTTATTGATTTTTCTTTGATTGAGCAATTCATCAGCGATGAATTGGCAAATTTCAAGTGATAAAAACAATTCAAGAATTGATAAATAATCATGAGATTTGAGTTGATAATACGGGTCATTAGGGTTAGAATTTTATTGAATAATTTCAAACCTAATTAGACAATTGCGTGAAAAATACTCGAGTCATGGATATTTTGTTCACAAAGTAATGGATCAATGATTACGTGAAAGCTATTAGAATCATATATTTCCAACAATGAATACTATCAGCAAATAAAACAACCAATTTGTCAATTCAATTCATTCCACTATCACAAATTATCCTCGTTTATTTTAACGTGACGTGAGGATTCACGCCATAATATAATCATTAACAAGCCTCTTTGATCGTCAACTGGCTTTTAAATATCACGCTATAAATTTGCTTTGCATGCGTCCTAGCTTAACGGAAGAAGTGTCAATTTTTATTCTCTTCTCTGGATTGAATGAAACTCATGATTGTAGAGAGTGGACGAAAAAATGGTGAAAAAGAGGAGCAGAAATGAGGAACGAATACCGTTTATGTGTCTGTGATCTACCATTGGCGAGATTGTTAGTGTTGCTGTGAATAACCTATGGCTGCAGAGGACTAATGAATGGATGTCAATTGTATCAATTATCAATGAGGAAGAGACATCGGGTGAGAACAACCGCCCAGATACTGTTTATATCTCTTATCGATGCGAACATGATTTACGACTGTCACTCTCCCCTCATTTCTCACTTTATTGCGTCCGTTTTAAAATGTCTCCCTCGCGCTTATTAACGACCTTTTTTTTATTTCACGAATTTTATGGAGATCCCAGTCATAATTATCTCTATCACGGCAACAGCCACTTTTTCATATCTTTAATCAACAAAATTGAAGAGTCACAATTCTTTCTTCTAATTTTCCTTTGAGATTTTATGAAAATTTCCCACTAAAAAATTCACGGGACGCCTTGGATTGATTACGAAAAAATTTTATTGTAGCAAATTTTAAGACGACAAAATTTTAAGTGAAAAAATTAATTCCGTAATGTTAGCTAACAAAAGAAAAAGTCAATATAAAGTTATGAATATTACAATCACGGAGCAGATGCCAGTTTTTTGCTGGAAAAAATTAAATGTAAAAGAGGGATAAAAAAGAATGATTTACCATCAATTAATTTTTTTTCTACCCAAAAGAAATTTAATAGTGAATAATTTGTATATTTACATTACACTCGTTGGCCGTGGCACGGGCCATCAAACGCGAGTCTTGTGAGTCTTAATAGCACAAGATTTATAGTCCCCAGGGAGAGAGACCACGACAGACGAAGACTAGACGCATGTCCACCCCTTTCAGTTGAATGTGAAAATAAAAATCCAAAGAGCAAGAAAATAAATAAGCAATACGAATGAAGCTAAAGAAGAGAGGTGCAGTTTGAGAGGAAGCAGTGTCGTCTCGCCTATTACACAGTTGGCCATATAGGAATAAGAGGAAAGACTAAAATGCAAAGATGGCGAGGCGATGAAAAAAGGGGCAAAGCAAGGGAGGAAAGAAGAGGGAGGGAATTAAGTGTAGAGGAGAAAAAAAAGGAATTTCGTGTGGTCGGGAGAGGGTACATGGAAGGAGGAACTTTACTGCACCTGCATTTTTGTGAATATTTTTGGCGACATTAATATCTTAACGAGCGCCATAACAAGGGGAAAAGGAGGAGTTACAGCTATCAACATGTATACGAGGGTTATTCTATCTATCCTTTAATTATTATCATGAATATTTCTTTAAGGGCATGGAGGAGCCACCAAATTCAATTCAATCATCACTCCGACTATTTGCAAAATAGTTGCTTACGCAGAGAAAAATTCCTGAAATTCATCAATTTATAATCAATTCAAGCCTTTAGCCATCCAAAAATTATGTACTGAATCATATCGAATTGTTTTAATAAAAGAAATTCCGGAAATTACCTGTATTTTTCGTAACCTCGGCAATTTTTGAGATTTTATTTTATTTACATTTATAATGTGATTTATTTGAGGAATTTCCGAGAAATTTGCGAGAAATTTCGTGTGATATTTTTCATTTTCAAATACTCTCCCATACATCTTTTCTGTTTGCCTTTATTTCTTAGGTTTCTTTTTTAAATGTACTAATGTGAGCAATTCTAAATCCCATTCAATTTCAATTCCTAATCTGACAGATAGAAGGAAATTTGGACTTTAAAACCATTCTTTTTTATTGATCAATTTCATGTATTCACTCACTGAAATTGAACATCGGTTTTTTTTCCATGTTTTCAGAATGCAAGTTATAACGTGTGAATTCTAGTGACTCTATACTCATTTCATTAGGTGTCTTTCATTATTTATTTGTCAATGAGGCATGACTACTTTCGCTGCTCTGCGATTGATTAGATCATCAGGTGGACTACGAAACTACGAATTAAATGAAAAATAATTGTAATTGTTTTGGTGAAAAATAAATCTAGTATCAGTGGAAGCTAACCTAATTCAATTTTTGAGGTTATGTTTTACGATGTAGACAGTCTCGTGTTTAATAAACAGGCCACGTGCAGAAATAAACAAGCAAAAATTGATATTTGATGGGAAAAAAAGGAAGGGAATGGAGGAGCTAAACCAGACTGAAGTTGATGAGTGGCTGAGGAGACGTCGAGACGTTAATTTTTGCGCGGATACCCGAATCACATATACAGGTGACTTTTTTTGACATTAAAAGGAGGTAGTCGTTTAGTTGGAGACTTCAACTATGGCGCGAAGACCACCCGAGTTGAATTTTCAACATTACATATTCCTTACACTTCCCCTCATCCTTTTTACAGTCATGAAACAGTGTATCGGGTATGTATATGATCAATATCCTGATGATCCTTTCACCCTCAAGGTCCTTGAACACCGGGTTATCGTTACGTTCTAGGGTTTCATTTGGTTTTATTTTTTGAGTTTCTCATTTTTTTCCTCAATTATTTCCAGACCGGAGACGATAATAAAAAAAAAGGTAGGGGTATTTGATTGAGAGACGTCAACACATTTATGAAACGGTCACGAGGTCAAATATCGAAATTGATATGTCCCTTAGAAAGTTTAACGAGGATGAGTTGCAGACATTTTAGGTTTTATCACACCATGAAGGTTCGAAAAAAATTTCAATATTTCTAGTTGTTGTAAAGAAAAATTCCTCTCAAAACTGTTTCATACAAATATTTTCATATACTTTTTTCCAAAAATTTGTACGAAATGAATATTTTGTATCACAGTTAGATACATTAAAAAAAATATTTTTAAATCATAATAACAATAATGATTTTTTAATTTTTGATGAAAAACGATCAGTCACATACCTACAGACATTGTCTGGAAATGAAATATGTGAAGTTCTGAGGCTACAATTCTTTAGTCCAATAAAAATGGCCTGAAATTTGTCTTTCGAGAACACGAAACTCCTGTTCGGAACCGGAAACTCAAAATTTTTTCAAAAATTATTTCGAGGCTTGAGCTCGACATAAACGAACAAGTTATTTACACGATTTATAAAATGTTTAGGGGTGACCGGATTAATTTATAACAGCCACTAATATCTGTACTATTTATGATTTAATGTTGTCGATTGACATCCCCCGATGAAATAGGCTGCAAAATGTTTAGACTGGCATTGACATAAAAAATGTGAGTGGAAAAAAAACTGTACGGCTGTTATGAAGAGTAAAAGCGAATGGTTTTGTGGTATAGGGTCTGTGGCCTCATGAGGATGCTGTACTCTCTCTCGAGAGAAAGAGAGCAGAAAGGAGCGACACTCGAGGTGGGCGTATAAACGGAGTCTCCACTGGCCTCTCAGTCTCTTTCTTCTTATCCTTCGTCTCTTCAACCTCAGTTGCTGAGACTGCCGTCGTAAACGAAACGAGGGAAAAGAGCAATGCAACCAAGAGGGTACCCATGCAACTGAAAAGATAGAGATGGATGAATGAGGAAGGAACCCAAAGGCTTTTCACTCTCTCTCTTTTTCTTACCACTCAAATAAGATTGCTATTAGCATAAGCGAGAAATGAGCCAATGAGATGCTAATTGTCGGTTCTTACGTTAAAAAATAATTGCTGAACGATGGTGGTCATTTGTCGTTGTAGTTTCATCAACAAATAATTAAGAGAAAGGGAAGAAATTCAGTTTAAAAAAAAATATCAAGTACTGAATTCCAATTTTTTTTATTATAATTATTAGGAAATAATTGCAACAGTAGAAATGATCATTGCAAGAGAACGAAGGAAAGATCTATTTTCCATGTGAAGATGACATAGACCAAAATTATTGTTCTTTGGCATGTTGTAAATAATGATTTTTAACAGTTGCAAAATGATATTAACTGGAGGAATGTGGTGTCACGAGTCATCCTGAACGACCCGGTTTGTCCCCCCAGCATTCGCCACCATTCCATATAGGTAAAGTTTCTGCGTCATTCTCTCTCAAAAGAATGAGCCACTAAAAAAAGGAGATACCACTAAAACCAAAAAAACTGACTTCAACCTTCATAAAAAGGTCAGGGAGGCTAGTTAAAACGGCAATCCCACTTCCGAGGATAGAGAGGGACTGAGGTACAAGACGTTAAACATAAATGCAATCTCCTCACCCTGATGGGACTTTTCTATTCGACCAAACTATCCTCCAAGGCTCAAATAAGTAAAATGACTGAACAAAAACGACATTGGTTTTTCTTCAATGGCTCGGCTATATTGCAGTGTGTTTAGAAGCTACTCGAACATGAAAATGCGAGGGAAAGACGAGGTAAGGAAGGGCAAAAAATAGAGGAGAATATAACTCGCTTCGCGGCTTAACCATACTCATTGCTCGTAGATTGCAATTTGACACGGAGAGTAATGAAGCTCAGGTAGATATTGTATTTTTAACATTTTTAAACTCATAAATTTCTTCAATAATCAAAGGAAAGTGACAAAAACTAATTGTTTGAGAGAATTTTTTGAGCCACACCATTTTTTCGATAACTAGTCGGGCACGCTCTTTGTTTAATGTTCATGGAAAATTCAATATTGGATTTCCTTTTTGCGATTTTGGAAATTTTGGATGAGTTCAAACGATAAAAAAATTCTGGATTCTATGCAAAGAGAATGATTGTTTCTCAGAACGTGTCACGTGAAATTCGACACATAGTCATCGATAAATCATATACAATGATTTAATTTCAAAGAACAAGAGATGTGCTTTAAAATCGGATACAAATATTCCTATTCATTTGTTGTGGGAAAACAAAAAAATTGAAACAAAGTTGAAATTTAGATGAAACATGGAAATCACATTTCCATATTAACAGCGCCATAAATCTATGAAAAATTATGGGAGTCATATATCTTACTTTTGTTCAAGCTTATTCAATGAGCTTTCTAATGAGCGGACAATATAGTACCCCAATGCAAAAGGAAGAGAGAGATTGTCGAAAAAACTAAAGACAAAGTGAGCGTTACGGATACGGATCATTGAATCAATTTTTTATTACAATGACAAGTACTCTTGAAAATTATAATACCTTATCGATGTGTTTTTCAACATTAGTTAATTTTTAAAAAATAAATTTGTTATTTAAATGAATTTTCCACCTCTTAAGGAGATTATTCCATTAATTTGGAATTTCAACGGCCATGTAAAGAAAATATTTTCAGCCGTTTGAAAAAAATTGTTAAAGGTCGATTTTTCACTCTTCTACGATTGACTGCCCATCCAAGTTTTTTATATTTAAAGTCCTCGAATGAATAATCTATGCTGGATTGATTGATTGATTGAATTAATGGCAATGCTGGAGATTTGAATGGGATTCTTGGGGGTTGTTTTTGCGAGCTGAAGAACAACGAAGAAAGTAGTAGAATATTTAATACAAATGTATGTTTCACTTCTCATTCTCGCTCTAGTCCCCGTTGACAGCAAGATCCACTACTCTTTACAATTTAGATGAAATCCCCGTTTTTCCCCGAGACGCCACCGGAGATGCCGACGCCCGGAGGCATTCATATACGATGCGGATATGCATTATGCAGAGATACCGGAGTGAGACACTCTGCGGTGAAACTGCATTATATTTAACGTCTAGTCTTACACAATTTTTGTTCCAAGTCTTCTTCACTACTGTGGATTTATTCATATTTTTTATGGTATTTTTGAAGATTGAGGGGTGAATTGAGTCTGAAACAGATGGCGAACGTCTCCTCGCAGTTTTCAGAACAGATTTTTCAAAGAGAACAAACCAGAAAAATTATATAAATCACGGAAAATAATGGTTTTGCAATGATTTCAAAGATAGGAAATGGCACATTGACGAAACAAGTGTCTATTTTTTTTTATTTCTCATGAAAATGTTTTTTTTTATTTCTTGAAGCTATTTAAAATAGGTATTTCCACTCTGAATATCCGAAAGATAAAAAAGGTATTCCCCGAGCCACTTGTTCCCACTATCTTCGATCAGAATAAAACGAGACACTGAAATCTCGGAGTTTTTCGACGGTCCTCGAGAAGAATCACCACAAGAATGGCTTGTAGTTCACCGGAGGTACAGTCGGCATTTCAACAGAGAAGAGAAAAATAGAGTGAGAGAGGTGAAGGGGCTTGGAATAAAAGGCGGCAACTGTACACTCAGGTTTACTCGGGCGCGAGGCCACTCCTCAGGGCTCTAATTACCTCAGAGCGCGCGCGAAACACCCATCGAGCTTCAAATTATTTCCTGCTCAAGCAACACATGTCGATCCCATACCTTAACGAATATATTCGGCTCAAAGAACATTTGCCCAATATTTAAAAAGTATCTCCTTAATATGTTCCAAGTCCGAAATTTGCCATTTGGTATGTCATTACTAATTCTGGCCTCCGCAGTTCAAATAATGCCCTATTACCCATGAAAACAACAAATAACTATTGGAACTTTCCAAACTCCATGGAGGAAAACAAATGTTGCCAGTGTTTTTAAATCATCACTTAGAAATTTAAGACTTACCAACGAATCAACCTCCGGATCTGCAATGTAATATGGCTTCTCTTGTCTGATCTGGAACAATAAAAGTACTTCGTTAAATGACTGAACAATTGAATCATTGGATATTTGATAATTGGTCGGTAGTTGCAGGTAAGTCTGAAGGAAAAGATGTTATCAATGGCATAACGCTTTAAGCGATTTCCTTGGCGTGCTTCCCCGCGGTTTAATTGGTCGTCCCTCAGTTACAATTCGTATCTCACGTGCAGATAGATAGAGAAGCAACCGGGGATTGTTAACGGCATGCCGGAAATACACCGGAATACACTGCCATTCAGACACATTTCTGACTATTGTATCTATCATTTACAACATTTGCTCTATTTCACTTTAAATAATGTTATATTTATGGTCAATCCAAAAATACACTGATAGAACGAATTAGTGATTCTTGTTAAGACCATTGCATTTGATCGTAACTTGCGACCAATTTGCTCTAGTCACTCATTTATTCATCGATAATTAATCCATGAATTTTTCAAGAGGTCTGGTTTGGATCAATTTTCACTTTTCAAATAAACCATTCGTTAAATATTCAAAAGTTTCATTTGATATCTACATCGTTCTATCATCACTGTTTTTTCCAAATTGTTATGTTTATACAGAGAAATTTATTTAAAAAATTAGGTTGACGAATAGTATAATCGTGTAAAAATATCGTTCTTCGTTTTTCAATTATTAACTATTTTTGGTAATCACGGAAAAATCTCGTTCACTGTTTCTCGCGAAAAAAAACCATTTATTAACACATAAAAGACAAAGAGGGCACTCTTTAAAATATTCAGACTTCCATAATGTCTCATAGAGGAAAATTAGCATTATTCTGTCCTCACTGTAGTTCTATCCATGATCGATGGTCTAGTGAGAGAAACGGGTGTGATACACTTCAGTGAGAATCGATTTTAAAAACATTATTCATGAGTTACAGAATTCTGAAATGGGTCTTCTGCCCCTTCGAGTGTATAGTAATGAAGGTGTCTCGTACAGTTGAACAAAAATACTGTCAAGCTGACCAGTGCATGGAGTAAGATCAGATGATAGAATAAAAAAACATTGGGAGAGAGAAAAGAAAAGATATTTATACTGGAGTCTAGTTCTTGCAGTGGACTTTCTGCCTTGTGTTTTTCGATGGTCCCCGAGCGACCGCTAGTGCCAACACAGGTAGACATACGACATTACAAATTGTAAACAGCCACTGAATCTTTAAACATTACAAATTTTTAGATTTTTCCCTAACTAAAGCAATTTCCACATTTAATTATCGAACGCTTTAATAATTTCACTTTTTTGACATTTTGTTGACATTTATCAATTTCTTTAATTTGATATTTTTAGTTTCTTTCCCTCATGAATCCGTTAAGTCCTTGAATATTAAGTGCTTGACCGTCACTGACAAATCAATGATCATTTTTGGAATTTTCAATATATAGTTCACTGCTGCGCGGAGAAAAATATTCAATAATGGTTTAAGAAAATTTATATCATTGTATCTTAATTGTTAACAGAAAATTCAGATCATAATTATGTAATGCTCCGTAAAAAATTCCGTAAAATTTTCCTGCACTACATTTTGCTTCAGCATGAATTCTAGAATTGCCAAAACGATACGTAATTTTTATTGAATGTTTCTCTTGGTGTGAAGTTATTTTCGAAAGAATGAAAAAATTCACGAATTAGAAAATGAAGAAAGTCCAGACTGTTAAAAACAAACAAATAGCGATGAACGAGTGGGCGTCATAAGCATATTGCCTCGATCGGCAGGCATAACTCAAGTCCAGCGCCGTTAAAAATATTATTGAATAATATTTAGAGAATAGTCTGCACTGGTGCGTCTGTATGATCCAAGGGTGAACCCATGAAAATATGTTTTATTTTTCAATGTTGTTGGAGAGATTCCGTTGATAGATATATGCAACCAGCTGCCCAGTTACATCGACACACCGGAGCCCTAGCTTTCACAACCCTCAAGCCCTTCTTCGTCCTCAACAATCGAAAACCTTTGACTGACAATCAGAATAAAAACCTAAATAATTCTCTCTAAATTGGGGATTTCCTTGGGACACTAAATATTTCACAACCCCGTATAAAATTTACTGGCAATTTGGGGAAATTCTACGATTGGCAGTGACTTTGTCCCATGTAAAACACTTTGAAACGTTGCTGTAGGGCTCAGTAAAATAACGCAGAGCTGTAGAGAATCATCTGGTCGTCGGAAAAGGGCCTCAAACGGTTTTACCGTTTTCTTGGTAATTCTCCCTGGAAGATCCTGTAAAATCCTACTCTAGTGTCGTTGACTCTCCATCACCCCTGATCATAAAAACCAATGACTTTGAATTTTTGTCGAGTGTTTTCACACAGTTACTTCAGATGAGCTACGCAAAACGAGAAACTTGAGAAAAGTTCACAATCAAGAATTATATTTTCCACATGAAATTTTCGATTATTTCCGCTTCTTGACTTCAAAAGCCGCAATAACCAGCCGTTTGTTGAATACAAAAAAATAACTATTTCTGTAAATGTATAGTAGTTTTAAACTAAATTGATAAACTGTAAGTGTATAAAAAATTATTTAATAATTTGCAAAATTGCCGTGACAGATCATATCGAAATAATTGAACGAAAAGAACAAAAATAATCTCCAAATAATTAGACCCTTGGAAAAATCCATAAACAATATGTAGAATGTGAGTAATTTTTTTCAGTATTTTTTAAAAGTCGACTTTTTGCGCGTATCGAACTCCTCTCCCTCGTCCATTTATCCACAGAAAAGGGATGAGTCCATAATGAAGAATTGCCGCGCCCATCGAAATGAGTTGAAAAATTGATTTGGAGTATAAATTTATCAATAATGAAGTAGTAACAGCCGAGGATGCTGGCATCCCAACAAATCCACCATGTCGTCGTCCAAGTGACGTCATAAACTGGTTCGCAATCGAGAATTGAATGCCCCACCTCGGTGGAAGGTACCTCGTTCCACTCTCCCGTGTCATATCATTGATTTACCACGAATTCCAATTAAATTCTCCGATGCTCTCTTTCAATCTTCACCCCCTCCACCAGTCATTCTCACGGTTTATAATGCCATGGTTGTACAGTCAAGTTTCTCTAACGGTGAAAACGCGTTTTCGCCAGAGTAGCGCCGTGGCAACCCCATAAAATTGACGAGTAACGAACCTGGCCTTCTCTCCTTTGCATAAACATATGTACCACAACCATGCCAACAAATATGTATTTTATCTTTATTTATGTTTATCTTATTTGGATTGAATCTTTTTCATTAGCTATTTTCGGAGTTTTATCTTTATCGAGATTGCTGCATAAGAGGATTAATGATCTGTTATCAATTAAGGAATTTTCAACAAGTGCATTTTATCATTTCATTGGCACTTTCTCTATTAGAATTAAGCTTGTATGAAAAAATTACGGGGCAATGGTTTGACTTTGTATTATTTTTAGGCTTCTAGATGAAATATGCAGGGAATTCGGAATTCTAACCTACAAAAGGGACAGATAAATCGCCTGAAAGTCACGCGCGTCAGCTGTTTTACCTCTCTCAATACTCGTTGGTGCCTTCTCCTCCAGTATGGCGTTTACGACGGGTTTAATGCCCCCGAAGGTGCATTCTAATTGCGCCAATAAATCCCCAATGGGGACTGTCCAGGGGTATTATAAGGTTGGCATATAACACCCAAGTGTATTCCTCAAGGTAAGAGGCAAAAGACACAACTTCCGGTGACAGAGTCGTTTTCTGTTGATGGTTCTGTTTCGACTGTCATGTTGCCCTAGTCCAGGGGGGGTTTATTGGATTTGTCGGGTTGACCGACAGGAATCAACATCTTCCTCAATAGTTTCTCAAAATAAGAGATTCAAAAACACCATCTATAAATTAAGCTATTAATCTCATTATCAAACACTAAACAACAAAGCAGTTTTCTTGAATAGAAAATGGCGCCAATCTCAACTTTTCTCGTTCACTCTGACAGAGGATTATCACCAAATTATTTTTTCCTTTGTCATATCATGTAAATTACATATTCAATGATTTTAGGCACATTACCAGGTCTTTGTGAATCTCAAATATTTTTATGTATTTTTGGAAGTTTTGTTTTCAGATTTTTTTTGTTACACTAAATCATGTGGTTCGAATACTCAAAAACAAAGATTACTGCTGACATATCATCCGGAAAATTATTTTTGAACGGTATGAGGGGAAAATATTGATTTCGTTAGTTTTTTCATTTAAGAGAAGAATAGGAATTTCACCTTTCAAATGAACCACTCATTAACTAATTAAGAGAAAGTGTGGCAAACTGCAGTCAAATTTTCCCGCCATTTCCGAAAGTGCAAAACTGACCAAAAGGAGGGTAAAAAAAAATAACGAAAATGCGAACGGGTGAAACTGAGGATTGCTCTCTTGTCGGTTCATGGACGTACCCCGCAGTGACGTGGTTGATGCAAAAGTGGAACGGGCATCTATCCAGGTACCTCAGATGAAAAGGACCAGTGGAATAAAGAAAAGAAAAAAAAATGAAAATAGCTTTAAAAAAATAGGTAGAGGGGAGTCCCTGGGACAACAATGAGCCGCCGGACCCAGCAGGATACGCCCGTGGCACGTTTTTGGCACGACACGATGCACCGAGAGGAGAAAAGGAGAGAGATAGGGCCTCCTGCGTCGTCTCATGCGATGCCGCGGCCCCCGAAGAGGACCCGTGGGGGGATAATGGCGTAGAAACCCCATTGAATAGATCAATTTACAATGGCACGAAATGAGCAACACACTGATGCCCTTTAACGTTCTCTCTCGCATCTTTTTTTTTTTATTTTCTTTTATCCTCTGTTGTTACCCCCGGTGTTATAGTACTCTCTCCCTTTCAAACATGTACGCATGTGCATAATGCTTAAATTTTATTCGGCTTTTTTTTTCTCTTCAGTTGAGGTTATGCGTGTGTATGCGCGAAATAATCCGTTCGCCGCGTGCGTCCCTTTTGTCAATCGAGCAGGCATTATCAACTACTGTATTATCTGCCCACCAACGCTGAATTTTCCACCGCGAATTAATTTTTTAAGCACTTTTTTCAATGGCTCAGGTTCGGTTTACAGTTACTATCATTATTATGATTTTATTTTTCGGTGCCAGGGATTGGGATTTTTTTTTTTGGTGTATAGTCAAGGGTATGTTCGCTTTTAAATTCTACAATAGAATGTATATATATGACTACTTGGATGAACATTACCCATACATATCAAAATGAAAAATTTTTTTTTAATGATTAAAATCTTTTACTTGGCATAATTGAAAATAATGATTTTAAGGAGTAGCATTTTTAAAATTAACATAACGTCAAACGTTACTTTAATATTTGAGGAAATACTGAGAAGACAATGAAAAATAATAGTCTTGGGAAATTTTTAATTAACTTCCTCACATGCATATGGCAGATGCTTGTGGATACAATGATCCAATTGTAAATGATAGTAGAAAAAAAAAATTGTTGATTTGATGAAATATCATTTACGTCATTTTTCGAGTTGATGAGAAAACGTAAAAATCGATCCTTGGCATTGACTTAATTTTCTTGGGAATATTTGGAAAGGCTTGGAGGCGGGGCAGAATTGAGAAACATGCGAAATATGTAGCACGTAGCGTGATGTGGCATTAGGTATCTGGGATGTTGGCGCGACCCGAAGCCCTTTGACGAGTTTCTACCTGTCTTCGTTTCGGTACTGAAAAGAGGTGAGGGAAGAGATGAAAAAAAACTCGCTCGAGCGTTCCTCGAGATCCATTGAACACTATATGGGGCCCCTCACTTCAACATTTTGTCAATTTTCCAAGAACATTATCACCGAAAACAATGTCACTAAATACGCGAATTTTCAATTAAAAAAAAATCCCATCTCGGAACTAAAAAATTGAAGTCCATTTCTTCATCGTCGCTATTATATGAATATTAGATTCATTGCCCATTAATTTGATCAGTTATCTTGTTATTGAAGTAGGTAGATGACAGTGGGACAAAATGCAATGTTAATAAATTTTTAATAATTATATTTTATAAATAAATTTAGAATATGATCAATAATATTAATTACGATCAATATTTCACTTCGCATCATGACAGTGATTATTTCGACCGTCTCGCTTGTTGTCTCTTACTCGATTAGATTATCAATCTCTATTTAATATCTGTGATATTACTCATATGTAATTGGCAAGTGTACAATAACATTGCCGACAATGGAATTTCATGTTCAAGTACATTTGTGATGATCAGTTCATTGATTATTAAACGCTATATTTCCTTTTTCGGAGATAATCGCCGAGACAATCGATCATTATCTTTACGGTAGAAATAACTTTCTTGCTATTACTGATGAAAAAATTATCGTTAAAAAAAATATTCCAATTTATTATAAGTTTTTTTTACATCTCTAAATACCCTGATTCTTTGAATATTCATTTCAGTACTTGAAGTAATTCGCAATATATTCTTCCAAAATTCCGTTTATCCGCAAGAAAATTGAAGTTTTCCTCATCTTATCGATATCTGAAGAACCAAAAAATTGCGTCAGTGGGTGAGCTTAACTCTTATCGTTATCAGGACGGCAGAGCTACTCGGGCAATAGAACCGACAACAGCTACTCGTGTTACCTGTGCGCCACATATTATCATCACAAGTTAAACTAAAATCAACGCGGTGGAATGAATGTTGCGAGATAAATGAGCCTTTCATCTCCCTCTGATACACGAGTTTAACAGACGAAAATTCTATTATCTCTCGAGTAATAAAGGCACGAGTGTGCATACCAACGAGTTTAATCTGTTGGCGTCAACACTCCTTCTTCAACGTAGAGTGAGTTTATTTTTCCTTGGGCTGAAACCGACGGAACATTCGATTGGAGAGGAAAAAAAAATCGTCCAACTTGGGGAAAAATTATTTTCTGAGGCTATCAAACTCTTTTGTCGTGCCAAACCGATTTCACTTGACCTGTCTGCCTGTGTTATCGGTGATACGAGTCACATTATTGACACTAGGATGAAAGTGTCGATAAAAACATTACATAAATATTTTTATGTGAAATAAAAGTGAAAGAAGAAAAATATGGCAGAATAGTAGAGAATGTTTTGGAGTTTTTTAGGGCTTTGATGTATTCAGTGACCTAGTGCTACCTATCCACGGAATACACACCTATCGAAGGAATGTAGACGCTCAAAATGCTTTTTAAAAGCCTCGGAAATTCCCTCCGATCCCTCACATCGTCGGAATCCAACATCTCAGATTACCTCAGAACGTATCCTTGGGGAATGCCATGGGGCTTTTGGTTTATAGAAGATGAATCAATGAAGAAAGTCGTGGAAGAATGGAAGACAAAAACTTCTTGAGATAGTTGAAAAAAATATATTTTCCAGAAATAGCTGTCTCAAGAAATACTTGACCGATCCCGCTGGAATTCTGATCAGATTTGATCCCAAATAATACTCTTTATTATTCATTCAGGGAAAAATTCAGATTTTTTTATTTAAATTCGAAAATTAAAAAATCCGCACGTACATGCAATTACTGCGCACAGTTATTCATTGGAATCCTATTTTTCCGTATTTTTCCGTTTTATAACATTCTACATAATTTTTAGGCAAAATTAGAAAATGGAAAAAAAGATCGATTACGAAGCTTCCATTCAAAAATAAAATAATGAAAATAAACGTATACATTTTTTTTTCTTGAAACGGAAAAAGAAATTGTAAAATTATGTTATTAGATTCAAATGTGAGGGAAGAAAAAAACGATTATGAACTTTAGCAATTTAGAAAAATTCGATTCAAACATTTTAGAAGAATCCTATTATGTTTGTAATAAAACCCACGTAGATTTTGTAATAATTAAAAAAAATTATTCATGCGACTAAATGACGTTGTTTTTCACTTTCAACCGCACTCCCTTCAAACTCCCCGAAATAAATCATGGATTTGTTGAGTGGTTTGAGAGACCATCCCATGAAGAGTCAAATGGAAACGTTTTCATTCGAAACGACTATTATCCCCCCAAAATGTGGAAGCACTCTGGGTTATTCTAACGGGGCAATACGACGACAGGAAGTGGCGTCTCGACGCCCATGGGGCGCGTCTCTATGCTGGATGGGACATATTTGGAAATAGTTTTGTACAAAACATGGCATTTCCACGGAAATAAGATTTTCCCTAACGCCGCGTTTACAACATCCGTCTCTCTTTTCCCATTTTCTCGCTCCAATATTTTTTTATTGATTTTTATCTCCAGCTTACCTGTTTTGAGAAGACCGCAATGTCCTCGTTGAAACTCTCTGACGAACATACATCACCGCCTGCTACACCTGGTTCTCTTGGTGTGCACGTTGCCAACTCACATTTTTCAAATATTAGGGCAAGTAATGGAAACAGTGGATGTCTGAAAAAAGAATAACAATATATAAATTAACACTCTCTAATCAGTCATTAACAAAATAACATATTAGATCAATAAAATTTATAACAATACATGCTATAGTCTTTATGTAGGCCTTTCCATTCTATGAAAGTTGATCAAGTACAATTTTTATTAACATTTTTTAAATTTTCATTTATATGTTAAGTCATGCGGCAAAAAATGGTGTATAACTTTTCGATTTATCTACATTTTTTTGCATTTAATACTCCAACTTGAAACATATTGTTTAAAAAAAAAAGAAGGAATGCATCGGTTTTTCTTGGCATTCGGTGATTTGGGGTGTATTTTGACGCTTTTTATAGTGAATTCTCTAAAAAAAATCAAGCGTGATAAAATTTGGACAAGGAATACCCTCGAAGAAACTAAATTCACCGTGAAGTATCCGAAAGGTTGTTGCAGTGACTAAAGGAGGGGGATCTCTCTCACGTTTTTTCATCACCGGGCATTCGTATTTAGTTTTCAACAGAAGTATAGAAAGGCGTTGCGCACGCGGTCCGACGGAAGCCTCTCGCCAAAAGCCGTGCAGCAGCTGTTTATCGTTGAGGGTACCCTGACCCAACTTCTCTTATTTTTTTTCATCTCGTTATGTCGAAGAAGGGGCATAAAATGACAAAAAATGAAATTGTTCAACTAGTACAAAAACTCGATAAATTCCAAACTTCTCAACAGATTGACAAAGCAAATTTAAAAGACAATTTTGAATTTAAAAAAAAGACGAAAAATTGAGGAAAGAATATCCATTCATCGTTGGAAAATATTTTATAAAAATGATTAAAAAATGGATTTTTTTTCCATTCTGAAAATAGTAATTTGAACTGATTGAACTGCTGTTCAATGAGTCAATGAAATTTTATATTTAGGTAAAAGCGTGAATCTGACGTCGGAATAGCGTCGAGACAGAGGGTGACCTCTAGGCCCCCCAGGATTGTGGGATAAGATAAGATTAGCCACGATGCAGCATAGTTAGTGCTCTCAGTATTTCCAAACTGCGTAAAACGAATAATAATGCTGAGTGCAACGACCCTTCCCTCTTAATAATTCAATTATCTCAATTAACTAAGTTTTCGTAAAAATAATTGCATTTTCATTTCAACTAATTCAACAATTAAATAAATAATTGTCAGTAAAGAAATTCCATCTTCTTTATGTGTGCCAATGGTAGCTACCCCAGTCGGTGCCAAGGGCATAAAATGATTCGGAACGAATTTCGACAAATTGACGCGAGTCTTTCTCCCTCTCGAAAAAATAAAAATACTCATAATACGCAACTAAACCCCTCAACGCAAACGCCGACACGAGAATAAAAATTAAACAAAATGAAAAAAAATTGGACGAGAATGAACGTCTTCGGTAGTAGCTTCTCGTATTTTTATTTTTCTCTCGTGGCCAGCACCTACCGTGCGCTTTTCGACTTCCTTCCTTGGCACACGTTTATATACACCAGGGAATACGATGCTGTGAGGATTTTAACGGGGAAGAATGGGCGGTTCGATGGAAGATCGTGTGAGATTGGGGAGAAATATTTGACGATATTCAAACAATCTTCAGATTTCGACAAAAAGTTTCAATAAATAGATAAAATCTCCTACAGAATTATCCCTTTAATCAACATGAAGCACAAAAATATTTTTTTTAAAACGGTTAATTAGACATTTTTTCAACTAAAAAAAATGTTTAATTTAATATCGGTAAAATTTGATTTTATTCATTTTTATGGATTATATAATGAAAGTATACTTGAAGACTATATTCAATAAATTGTGATAGATTTCATTCCTCGAAAATACAATTTTTTTTGATTATGGTTTTCTAACAATTTGTAATTTTTATATTCAATAGTGATTAATAAAATAATTATTGCGTTGAGGTAACGGAACATGTTTCATTCATATTTTGAGAGAAGGGATAAATTGAAGGAGCTGAGGAAATAATTTGACTTGTTTTGGTGGTGATGATTCAAACGGTTTTATTGAGGAATAAATGAGGAAAATAAAAACATGAGTGTGATTGTAAACTCGGGGTAAACGACAAAAGCGTTGTTGCACACGCGCGAGAGACACTCGGTGACGGATAAACAAGGTGTCAGGATGATGCGACCGCAAAGGTAATGATATGATTGGCCGTTGAACGTTGTTTGGGGAATGATGCGGTTTTGTGGTTTCCGCTATTCTGCGTTTGTTGGTACCTCCATATACGAATAAATCGTTGAACACTCACAGCATACTTTATCTTTTTCACTTCTTATCAACTCATCGAACCCAAACAATCCCAAAATAGTTTAATAATTAATCGAAAAACCAAGTTGTTAAATACTTTTTAATTATTAACACTTGAAAAAAATAATCTAATAATGTCGTTTTTCATTCTATTAACTAAAAGATTTGATGAAAAATATTTAAATAATGAGATGGAAAAAGAATTAAGAAATCCAAATGTTCTTCAGCGCTCTTGGAAAAATAATGATCGTTCCCACCCTCGAAAAAAATAAATTTCCATTTTTTAGAGGAATTTTTCCGCTTATATAGCCAGAAAACCGGCCTGAGAATGCTGCACTCTTAGCCCGCTTGAAAAAAACTGGTAGTATAAAAACCCCCAAATAATCCCTAAAGTTCTCGGAAACTCTTCGGCAAAAGGCAAGAGGGCACACGACGAGTGGACAAATTGCAGGTTACCACCAAAAAATAATAAGCTCCCGTTTTTCTCCCACAAAACCCTCACAATAAATCACGTGGTTCTCATTCTCCCAAAAATTCCCCAAATCCCTTCGATTTTCCCTTATTCCGAGCTAATAAATTCTTAATCAATATCAATCATCATCTTCGTCCTCCCATTCCCTCCTTCACAATCGGGTACTTTCCCTCCTTCGCCAGGTGCACTTCCCCCTCAAGAGAATAAAAAAATAATAATCATACACGTTAAAAGAAATAAGAAAAAAAAATGAATTCTTCACATGCGTCCACCGGTAGCTCTCAATTACGCATCGTCGCACGGAAGAATTTTAATTAAAAAATTAATTTATCTGTTCTTGATCGACACATCCGATGCAGATTGTCCAGAGTGATGACCCTAGTGCCCCCTTCACTGAAACATCACCCACAGCCCAACGTCTCATTCTTTTTTCCCCCCTTGAATTTCTTTAATTAACGATAAACGTAATTTTAATGCATAGGGAGAAACACCTTATTAGAAAAGCCACCGATGTCTCCATCACGAGTGTCGAGGGATCGTTGGAACGTTAAATGAAAAAAAATATCCAGTCAATTAACGCGTTATACTCTCACTGAATTAATTCCATAGAATTTAAATCTCATTATCCATCATCTAATTCTGTATTTTTATATCTTTTTAGAGTTGAATTAAATACCCCAGATTATCGAGATTACTTATTTTATTTATGGTTTTGTCAGTCGGCCACTTTATGGCCCATGTCGAAGCGATAAAAACCATGTTAATGAGCAGTTGGAATGAAATAAAAATTAATGAGTGACTTTTCCCAATGATTTCCACGGGTTGAATCGGTGGTTTGAGTGATCACAAGGTACTATTGCTATTGGCATTTACCCATAAATGGCGTCTTTGTCGCGTTTGTGAACGTCAGGTACCGCTGATGCAGCAGCCGCTGCTGCCGCTGCTAGTACATGTTGTGGTGGTGGTTGTGGTGGTGGTGGATACTGTGGATGTGCTGGTCCCATTCCACCCAAGTGTGGACTGTGGTGAAGACCCGGTACACCTCTTGCATTACCGTGTGGATCGTATAATCCACCAGTGCCACCACCACCGCCGGCCTCGAGGTAACCCCCGTGCAGCCCGCCATCATCGTACTGAGGAAAAAAAAAAAAACTTAATTAGACCATTTTCTCAATTTTTTTACTCCTTACCAATCTTTTTTTGACATATTAAAAATTTCAATGGAAATATTTTTTTATTTCTTCAACGACATTGCAGGTGAAAGACGAATTATATTATTTGAGTGAATATTCATATTGATTTTAATAATTTCATCATGCAATTAAATAGTAAGAAGAAAATAACTTTTACTTCGCCGTGAAGATTGGTTTTCATGAAAAATCGGACGATTGTGATTTTCATTGGAATGAAAAGTAAAATTGTGCTATTACGATAAAAATCGTAAATTCCCCGGAAATGTATCTCAAAGGATATATTAATTAACCCTAATACATCTGATGACAGACGTATATTTTCCCCATTATTCGGTTATACCTCATTATACCTCAATTATTATGTCACTCGTCTCGGTTGATGACCGATTTTCATAATTCCGGAAACAAAATACAAAACAATTGCTCGCAGTTGTTTGAAAATCATTATTGCAGAATATTAACTATAACAATGAGGATTGGGTTTTATATGTATTTGTCTCTTGTGGCTTGTCCATTTACATAAAGAGGTTTGACGTATGCGTTATAGATGCGGGAACGTGTTTTACTGATGGCTCGCGTGACGCTAATTATCATTCCGGTATATACTGGGTCGTGACCGCATCTAATATGTGTCCTTTTCAAAAATCTTGAGAGAAATGAGGGGAAAAAATACAATTGTTATGATTTCATTGAATTTTATAAAGCCCCGAATGCAAGAAAATATCAGTTTTTCAATTCATCTAATATTGAACGGAATAAATCACAATCTTCGCATTGATAGAATATTATTAATAAACATTCGAGTGAATTATTTACTGTAAAAAACGTTACTGCACTCCAGCCGTTGCTTCCAACGTTCGATAGAAACAATAGAATATTTGTAAAGAAAATTTTTGCAGAAAATTTTTTTTTGTAGAATCGAAAAAGTGGCGCGATAGAGTGATCATATGAAGATGGCTCGATTCGTCAGAATACGGCTGTAGAACTTAATTTTACTTAACCTTACAGGTATTTATAATTTATGTAAAAATTCTATCGCTTCATCATTTTATTACTCCTGTCAAGATTGCAAGTATCTCTTACAAGTTTCTACTCCCTCTTACATTGGAAAAAAATACTTTTGCCCAGTAATTTTACAAACTGCAAGAAAATGCATATACTTCAAACGCAAATATTTACATAACTAACTTGTGACAAGTAAATTTACATGGCAGAAGTAATTCTTTTCTGAATGTACGATAAGAATCTTCCGAAGATAGTCATTGGAATTATTCATAGTCCAATAGTGGTACATTTATTTCATTCAACGATACGTCTCGTGATCGACCCGAAATGATTCGCAAACTGAAAAAACCATGTAGACGGAAAAATTTCTTGGTGGATAACAATAAAAAATGAGGACAAGCGAAAAAAAAAAAAATTCCCTCGATAATTCACAAATGCAGTTGCACTTATGAAGATATCAGAGAGATTTCAAACACAGTGGAATATTTCATTTTAAAAGCAAGAGGGAAAAGAATCACTGAAACTCCCTGAGAAAGAGGGAAGAGTGACGTTTATCCATAAACATTGATCACGAAAAACGAATGGTAAGAGATGGAGAAGTGGAATACGAGAGTAAAAAGAAATATTGCATCGAAAGGATGAAGATGAAAGCGAGAAAGAAGGAGGAGCAGCAATGCAATACCCCCCCCCCCCCCCCAGCATCCAATGAGAGTAGGGGTCCAATTCGAAAGTGATTCGACGTTGTAAGGAACTCCTGGCGCCACGTATTTATCACTGACACTAATTACCTAAGTGTTTATTGCCCGAATAAAACGTAACATGAAGCGTATACATTTTTTCCATCGGTATAAACTGACCACAATCCACGGAAATCGTGGGATAATATTATTAACTGTTTTTTGAATACGAATAGAAGACACTCATTCGACAAGTCATCAGAATAGCATGGTTATTTTATATTTTTAAACATCTTCATGGCTTTCTACACTCTCCTCTCTATCAAGAATACCAGAAGATTCATAAAAATGTTAAAATGGCATTAAAAAACGTAAGAGTTGATTTTTTGCACTACATTCTTGCAATTTTGCGATTATGGTTGAGGTTTAATTTCATACAAAAACAGTTATTTTATCCAAACATATCAAACGACGAAATTCCAAAAATTCGCAGACGCAAGTATTTTCAATGTTTCTCGCATGTGTCTGACGTTTTCACCTCGCAACATTCTCCGATTATTGTCCCTCGGGGCACGTACATTTTTTTTATTTTGACTCTACCTCGACTTTTGCGTCTCAACCCCCCATTTCTGTGATCTTTTGCAGGCACGCGAAGAACTCGAAGACACGCACGTGAAGAATCATTTTCCAACGGGATCTTTTGAAAAATGCAAATCACCGAAACCCTCTGAATAATAACTCCAAATGTTCACCGAGTATTTTGCATACATTGTCATGAAACTTCAGCAGTTCTCCGACAATTTAATATTTCGAATTAAAAACACTCGAGAGATTTTTCTATCTAGGAAGCTGAGGATGTGGGCAAAACTTATTCAAGCGTTTCTGTTGATTTATGGCCCTGTTGATCGCAGTTATCTGTTCTAACTTCGTCAAATTGTCGTCACCTACAATTTTTCACTCATTCTACCTTTTCAATTATTCACTAGATCACACGGAAAATGTCGTACCCACACGAAGAACAATTTTAATACTCTAAAACAATACCGGAACGAAACATACTGATAACGAATAAACCAAATTGTAGGCAGCATACTTATCAGCCTTGTAACTCTCGATTTCCGATATCATTTAATCTCCAATACAACGATCATTATATGGATAGAGCCAATTCCCTTACGAAATACTTTAGAAATTTTAAGGAAGAATAAAACTCGATACGCTTTGATCCTTATCGGCGATGATAAAGAGTTGATTCACCTGATGTTTGTAAATTAAAAATTATCTCGGTAATGAGCGATGTCACGGTGGAATGTCATCGGATATTTTTCTGCAGAATTCTATCATGTTCAGATAAATTTTAAAATTTTCCCATAAATTTAGCAGCTTTTGAGATAATTATAAAATATTAAAAAAATCAATTTTCCGATTTCCTCAAATTGTAATGTTCTCGCAACTCCCATGCCTGTTTCAGTTGGTGAAGAATTATTTAAATTCCTGTCACTCCACCAAGTTCAATAATCTCTCCAAGTATTTTACCCAGAAATAAAAAAAGGAATGTAAGAGACGTGAATCAAATCAGTGATCATATCATTCATTCTCAACTGATAAAATTTCAAACTTTTGAATTGATAATTGAGAACGAGGGTGTTCTTTTCCATTCTTTTCATCAATGAAAATTCATGTTGATCCTCTCATGTCAACTACAAGCAAAACAGAATTTAACCCAGAAATAAACACGAAACGCTACTAGTAGTCCTCGCTATTTCAATGAGAATAAATCTCTGAATCAAACTTTCGCTGAATGCAAAATTTTGCTTGGAATAAAACCGATCTAAGCTTTGACATTCTGCCATCGTCTTTTGTTTTCCCTCGTGACCAGTGTGTACACATGATAACGAACAAGTACCCATTGACTAGTGAAATACTCAGGCCGAGTACCAGCTCACACCAATAAATGTCTAAAGCACGTGCCTTGCAGCAGCCTTAACCAATTCACTATGAGTCGACTAATCTCATCTTCATAATTCCGTATATATCTCCTGACTGGGTTATCCATCGCCAAGACATCAGCACTATTTTTCCAGGAAAATTTTCGAATCTACAAAAATGGTAAACAATATTTTCTTGTAAAACTCAAGGCTCCGAAAACAACGGCACATTTACAAAAACCTGTCATCGTCAACGTATAAAAATACTTTGAAGCAGTCTTAGCCACATTTACTGGGGCCTCTCGCACCCGTCGGCTAAATTCCCCAGAATTCCATTTGTAATTCACCGCATGAATTCATTCTAATGTGACATTTCCATTTCACATTCCATAAAACCGAATTTATCGCGGATTAAACTGCACAATAATCAAATTATTCTATCTATCTGCACTTTAAAAAATTATAAAAAATGTTCATGATGGTTTTTAGGAATTTGGGATTATTGTTGAAAGGAGATTAATGCTTTCTGAAGTTTGACGCACATTGTTGTAAACCGGTTGGAGTAAACTTATGCAGAATCATGCCGGAATTATCTGTCCGTCGGCGTTGACAAGTACGGAATATTTGCTAAGTGACAAAATTATTCCGAACTAATCTGGAGCACTCCGGATGCGATAAAAATGCGATAAAACAATAGTGATGGGGATAATCCCCTTGAGACTCGTTGTAATGAAGAAAAAGTACTTATCATACAAGAACTATGAAATTCTGTCAATTCCAAAAATTATAATCATCGACAAATCGAAAAATTTAGTGAACTCAAGATTTCATCTTTCAGTTTGTCTTCAACCCAGAATATCTCCATATTATGTGCTTCGAGAGAAAGATGTAATTACATATTTTTCTAGAATACTTGATTCAGAAAAAAAAAAACAATTGACATTTATTCTGAAAACCACGCGTTACCAAGATTTGCCCACAATTGATAGAGAAGAAAAACCGAACGATTATGACTAAACACCGCACTTGAATCGTAGCTGATACTTTATGAAATAATTTCGCAAATTTGAATGTTAAGTTTTTCAGACGATTTAATGTCAAAAGAAGACTCTAACATTTTTTGACAGTAGTTGATAATTCTCAGCTGACACGTCACTCCACTTTGCAAAAATGGCAGGAATGAGTTAAAGATTGAGAAAAATAAAATAATTGCACGTACCCTTGGCTGCGCCATGAACGCCCTGGCCGCGCCGGGGAACTCTGCGTGCTGAGCCACCGTAGCGGCTGTATAATCCCTCAATAAAGAAGACAGTCTCACTTCACACTTCCCAACTCCTTCCAGTCACAATTCCCTCAAAAAAATTCGATGAAAATTGCAATTGAATCACGGAAAATCACTGTTCTGTCTGAACCTGAAAATCTCCAGGTATGAGAAATAGGGCATAGATCCTCAATTTGCCAAGGTAACTTCCAAATTCGTTAACCGTACACTTGCTGATGAACGGGTGGATGTTGCGTTCCGCGCTCTCCGCCCTCCACCCTTGGGCCACCTTGAGCTCCTTCACTCTCTTCAAATCCACCTTCTATTTGCCTCGAAATTCCACATGCAGAATCATACTCAGCGTCAGCACATCGTCTGATGACTCAAGTTGCCTTGCTTCCTCATCCTGTCCAATCCTCAAAACAATTCGTCCAGATTCTCGTGTCAGACCCACGGCATTAGCCCCCTCAAAACGTCTTCCGTTCCACCCCCGAAAATCATAAAAGCATCGATCCTCCACGATACTGTTCCGCACTGTCACTCCATTTGCTTCATGAATTCGTCAACAACTCACTTTTCGAATGAACAAAAAAAAAACACACCAAAAATTTTCGAAAGAACTAAAAACCAAAAACAACAAATAAAATCACAATGTCACTGTGCACAAGACGTACATCCTTGTGTTAGCCGACGGGGTGTAGACGTTATGTGCCACTAATGGTTTGTATTTACCGATATGTTTGCACTGGGTGATGGGGAAAATGGCAAAGAGGATACAGCGGATAGCTTCCAGAGCCGACCGAAGGAGCAGAACCGGCTGTTACCAAAGTCAGCGCTCCAACCGCTGTTTTCCTAGCTTCTCCAGTTAAAAACGATTGGCAGATCGTTTTACCCCCCCAAAAATTCAATCTTTTCTCTCTCCAAGGAAACTCCAGATTTTTCAAATACTTCACAACACCCTCTCACAATTTTTTTTTCCCGAACAAAACAATAAACCGCGCGCGATTGCTCAAGAGAAACTTATAAGCCCCCAATCATCAATAATAACACTATTGATGACTGAAAGTCACGGTGAATCGGTGAATTATCCTTGAAGACGTAAACAAAACGTGTCGAGAACACCAATGAATTGAGGTAAATTTCGCGGTAATAAATAGCACAGTTGTAAAATCAATAGTTGAATGATTAAATATTATCCCGATCCCGGCACTCAACCGTTGTTATCATTAGTAACAATAAAACCCCGAAAATGACGGAACGAAATAACCGGTGGTTAAGGGGAACGAGAGCGAGCGCCTTGAGCGTTTAGATCCTGCGCCGTCCGCAGTCGTTCGCCAACTGTCAATCACCGCAGTGCAACGGTGAAGAGAGTGGGAGGTATGGTACGTCAGACACGCCCATTCGCCACAACCAATGCGCCACACTGTTTACGCCCATTTGTGTGGGTACAAGTGGCGCCCCGTTGTGGATACATAGCGAGATAAAATTGTTTCTCCGCCATCGCTAACACCAGTACATACAACTCAACGTTTCTCACTCGATTTTAACCCCCCACCATCGCACCAATTGCTATTTCACTGGGTGTCGGATCTCGCTCTTGAGTCAGGGCTCACCTTATCCTCCATCTTTATTCCACTCTCCATCTTCTCCCCACCATCGGGCCAATACTTTTTTTCTCTCTTTCTCCTGCTATTCGCTGTCTTTTTTTCACGCAAATCCTTAACTCACTGTGTCTCACTTTATCCCACTCCGACGGATCGTGCGCGAGGAGCCGCCAATGCCTGGAGTCTTCGCTCGATCTTTTCCACTCGCATTCGCAGGGCTACGAAAGGAACTGCATTTTTGCCGTTTTTTTACCTTAACAGTGGGCTATTTTTGAGGTTACCTCGGGCTCTCCCGATGGAAGGGTTGGCGAGATTTTGTTAATGAGGTTAGGATTTTTTTAACGGTTCTCGCTGATTGAGGTGTCGGTGTTGTGTTACCGACGGCAAAAAAAAAACTGGGGAATCCCAGGGTCCTGTAAGCATTGTTCTTAGGGTGATGCTCATTTGCATATTTGTTCAATTTTCGGCACAGACGTTATTACATTGTGGCAAGAAATATTAAAACTGAGTTATTGGCAACTCACCATCTCTCCGATTGGGGAATGGAAGTTGTGTAAAATCAAAAACTAGCCATAATTATATTTCTATGGTTTTTTCGGAAATCGTTTGAAATTCTTCTGGTGTATAATATAGACTCCATATCTATATTATATGTATAAGAACCCCAGAAACGAATGAAAAAGCCGTTCTTTTTCGTTATATCCAAATGAAACAGAGGGCAGATTTTCGATTCTCGATTGCTTCATCTCACACTTGTGTCCTCAAACCAATTGACATTGAATAGATAAGTCCTTCCTATCTATAATGTACTATTTCTCTAATGAATGTAACTACATCTGAGCAAAACCGGTGACTACATGCATTTATCGAATTCCATCGGAATTTTGTTATCTCTTTCAAAATATTTACCCAGATATCAGCTTGAACCCTACGAAAAAGTAGAGAGACAATTGATTGCTATTTTAAGTTATAAAAATTCAGGGGAACACCCAGATGTTGGCATTTTGATTGCTTCATGCGACACTTGTGTTCTTCAACCCATTGACATTGAAATGATAACTGCGTTCCTATCATATATGAATTTTGCCTCCAACACATGTGAATATGGACGAAACAGCTGACTGCATTTGGCGAATTTGGGTCGAGCAGTTTAGGCAAACTTTGAATGGTATTCGATTGTTTCGGGTGAGTAATAGGCGCAAGGGGAGTCAACGGGGTTTTGACGCGAACCACCTAGGGGTGGGTAACAGACAGTTTATGGTCTGGTAGGGGAGGTAGTTTGATTTTATGACTAGACTAACCGGGATTGTGCATTTTCGGAAATATCTGGAAGGTTGCGACAAACAATATAAAAATGGGTGGAGTAGAGATTTTCATTAGAAATATTGCCAGTAACGGAATTACTCTCCAGTTGTGCCAACTAATTCGTAGGTGTCCACAGTGACTGTTGTCCTCCACTTAGCACTCTGCAAGAGGCCCCTTGACTCCTCTCTCTCACTCTCTCTCTCTCTCGCTCTTTTCCTCTTACACTTTACCTGAGGTATATTGTAACGTCAGGGTGAACCGCCCGGACACTTTGTGGACCCTGTTATTTCGATATAAATCACAGCACCCGTTCTCTCTCTCTCTCTCTCTCTCTCTCTTCTGTGTACCTACAGTGTGACGTGAGGGGTTTTAAAGTCGACTGGTTAAATATATACATCGGAAGCAGGAAAAAATGACTTTTTATTCTCTTTTCTTTCAACTTTAGGTCGTTTGAAAAAAAGTCGATTAATACCGTATATCATTCAATTATTGGGTGATTTATATCGGTTATAATTATTTCTTCTTTCTCTTTAGGGAGGAGATATTACTGATTATGGGGGAGGCAGGTAACCATATCTGGTTGTCTTATTTCGTTGATAGCAATGGCCAGTAATTAGAGGAGGACTGAGTTTCATTGTCGATGAAAATGTAGAGGATGGAATAAATTATTGTTGTGAATACCTTCAATTTGTATTGATTATGTCGTTGGGGTTACGTTTTGACGAGGGATTCTAACAGCCGTATGGGATTCTATTCTTTTCGTTTTTTTATTCCGCACATCGTTGTACTTTTGACAATTCAATAATACAGTTTGTGTTAGTTTTGTTCCTGGGTATTTTAGAAAAAATACTCCCTCTGAGATTTGCCGATATTCATCGTCGGAGCTCCTTCCTTTTTTTTAAGTGAAGAGAATTTATCACTACAATTGGATTTGAGCTGCAATATTTATGCATTTTTTTTTCGAGATACCAAGAATTCCTGACTGATGGTATCACGGAATTTCTTGTTACAATGAAATTACTGGATGCATCGGGAGAGAGAACTTGTGTGGCACATTTGTCCAAGTACAGAGATTTTGCGAGCGTTGGGCACGCGATTATGTACACGCATATACCAGTGAAGCACTAACGGGACATGCACACACGATTTGGTCGTAATATAATAATACCGGTGGTAGAGGGAGAGGGGTGTACATGGCAAGAGCCATTGGGTACATAATACGAGTGAAGGAGGAGAGGGCCCAGGGCGAATGTACTTTCACCCAACCTATCCTGCTGGGATGTATACACCCCAGGTGGAGGCTCATACGTACCCCATTGCACTCCTCCTTATTATCGTGATTCGTCAGTATCTCAGGATAACGTCAAGCCGATTATGTTCATTGAATTACAGGTATAAACCATCGTTTTATCATCATAGGTCTCAAGATTGGTCAGAAATTATTCGTTTTTTGTTCTCGATTAACAGCCCAGGTGGGGATCAACCATTGGTCCGAGCTTGGGCCAAGCTCGGACCAAGCCTAACCTAGCTTGGCTCAAGCTTGGAATTCAAGATTGTACCAACCTTGGTTATTCCTTGGTTTGTAACGCTAGTTCAAGCTTGGACGTCGAACTCGATCCAAGGTTGAGCCAAGATGCTAAAATGAAGGTAGTCCAAGCCTGGGCCAAACTTGGACCAACCTTGATTCAAACTTGAACGTAAAATCCAAGCCGAGCCTAGGATCCAATCCTTAACCAATCCTTCAACTTATCTAGCAATTATTGATTAAAATGGAGGCAAAAATGAAATAATTAGTTTTTTATTGTAGATACAAGTCAATTTTGCCTCTATTTATCATTCCCTAATAAATTGATCTTTGAAAAAACCTAATTAATTAACTTAAAAATTGATCGCCGCAACCGAGATTCGAACGCATGATCCTAACATTATGAAACCTACGCCTTACCACTGAGCTAACACGCACTTATAACTTGTAATTTTTAATTGTGCATATAAACTCTATGTCAACTTTATAGAAATACTGTTGTTGAATAACGTGCTACTTATTTAATGTAACTAACATCAAGAACTATTTACTTAATTTACATTATTCATTAACATAAGTGACTTTTTCTCGACCCCCCCCCCCTCAAAGATAAATTAGATAGAATAATATTACATAGAATAATTAGATTTATTCTATCTGTAACTAATTGATTGTTATTACTATAGCCATTATTATTATTTTTTTTTTTATTTATTATTTTATCCATCTATTCCAGGCTTGGATCCAAGCTTGGATCCAAGCTTGGAAAATGGTCGGAATTTCCGAGGTACCCAAGCTTCGATTTGCCTATTTTCACCAAGTTTTGTTAAACAATGTATTTCCATAACATCAAAGTTGGTTCAAGATAGCAATTCCAAGACTTGGAATGACCTAGACATCATATATTGGATCAAGCTTGGTTGAAGCCGCGTGGTTGAAGCTCGGAATTCCAAACCTGGGCCATGATCGAAACTACCTTGGTATACAAGCTTGTATTTGCATTATATCACCAAGCTTGGTTTAACCATGACAATTCCCTAGAATCAAGGTTGGTTCAAGCTAGCAATTCCAAGGCTTGGAATGACCTAGATATGATATATTGAATCAAGCTTGGTTCAAGCTAGGAATTCCAAAGCTTGCTATCCTAAGCTGATCCAAGCTTGGACCCATCGTCCAAGCTTGGATTTCCCCACCTGGGAGTTGTAAAACATCTTGTCAACATCATTTTATATTGATTTTCGAGGATATCAGGAATTGATTAGTCATTAGAGTGAGCTGATTTTCCACCAAATCATGAAGCTTCGTATATTACTTACCCTCTCTCTGCATTCCCATTTATCTTAGTGTCTAATAGTCATAATAAGAAATGGAAATGACTGTCAAGACTCTAACATTATAGTTTTATAAAATCCTACAACAAAATTTTTTTTTATTGTAGTTAATAAATAATTTGATGTTGGTGAGCGGATTGTATTGAATAAAGAGGGAATAAATGAAGACATCATAAGGCTATCCCGTTAGAAGTGAAGAAATTATACATTGTCTCCTTTTGCCAATTCATCATCATTAATAATTATTAATGGACAGGTCATCCAGTTTAAATAAATTTGGCTTGATCAAATCCTGAATGATCAGACCTTCATTCATTTTTCATAATATTCGTTGATCAGCGATTAAGCATAACCTGATCCAGTCCTGACTTGAATCTGACTAAACCTTCCACTTTGATAATTGATTATATCGTCTTACCCATCGTCCAAATTGTTTCTGAATGCTAAAATAACTGCAGATGTGTCTACGAGAAGAATTCAATTTATTTCAATTATAATTGTCCTCAGAAATTATACATTGAAGTGATTCTGAAAAGAATTATTGTACCGTACGCCCTTTTT